TCCCAAACTTTTCTAATAGAGGTAAAGTTGGTTTTATATTCGCACATTTGTTCATGTAGAAGTCTCTATATTGTTTACCATGTTACTTGAATATTTGATCGGAATTAGCATGCAAGTGTGACTTGAAAACAACATTAACACTGTTTATTTGACTGTGAACAATGTTGGACTTTGATAGTAACTGGCTGCTAATATGATTTCACTATTTAGAGTTTGCAAATAATACTTTTATGAAATTATATCATTAAGGGGAAAGTCTGAATGTGCAATTATAAAACCAATTTTACCTATATTTTTAAAGAAACTGTTGAAACAAGTGTTGAAGAGAAGTTATTTTGTTTCTGTTCTTTGTTTTTATTAATTTTAAACAGGACATTTTTATTGTTTGTTCATTTTAAACAGGACAAAGTGTAAAAACGCAGAGAAAAACTCCTGCTGAAGCGACTGATCTCCACACTGTTATAAAGATGGCGTTTATTAAAGAGGAGAGTGAAGATGTGGAGATCGCAGAAACATTCACAGTCAAACAGGAAGATCTGCAGGAACAAACAGGTTGATTTTCATTCTCAAAGACCAACTCAGTCATTTGATCCTCATTCAGATATATTTTATTAATAATAATACTAATTTAAATCCATCTTGGAAACATGAGTGTGCTGCCTAGTTCTCTTAAATGTACACAAGCACTCATTGAAAGACAGGAATGAGTTTCTTTCGTGTTCATGTGTTATTAGTCTCCCATTTTCTCTACCTTCCTAACCTTATTGCTTTGCTTGTTCTTTTGCTGTTTGTAAAGCGTCCTTGGTGCTTTATAAAATAAATAAAAACAATAAATTAATAAAAAGTTTAACTAAGATGACGATATTTGACCTATAGTATTCTCATAAAAGACTTAACATTTTAGGCCTTAAAAAGCCCTTAATTTACTAAAATATTGTGTCTTTTTTAAACAAGTCTTTATTTTCCTTTGTTCATGTTTTCCTACCCAATCTGGCCAAAACCCATACAATCACCAACAATCCATCTCAATAAAGCTTTCAACTTTTTTCTTCAAAAAGGTCATTTTAACTCTATTTATCATAATAGTTTAATTATTTTCCTAACAATAACATTTGTTTAAACGTGCTCCATGTATTTACTGTTGTGGATATCGACCTGGACAGATTGTTGTGCAGAGATTTAGTTTGTTATAGTTTTTAAAACTTTAAAAACATTTGTTCATTTTTTATTTTTAAAAAGAAAGTTTATGTTACACAATATACATTTTTTTAAAGAAAAAATAAAATATAAAAAATATATAGTAATTATTTATTATTGTATTATTAAATGTATTAAATATAAAATATAATATGTTTTTGATGGCGCAAATAAAAATCTTTTCCATCTGGGCCATTTAAAAAGTTCTTTAGCCTTTATCCCTTTATGAGTCTAAAATTTAATTCATGATGGTCTTAAAAATATCATAAAAAGTCTTAATTTTAACTTTGTAAAACCTGCAGAAACCCTGGTTTACAGTATGTCAGAAAATGTGGATGCCCCCAATATTAAGCATGCTAAATGAAATGGACACTAAAATAATTAATTGTTATACAACATTTTACAGTCGCAGAAATTAGACCATATTCTTCATGCACCAACAGGCGGCGCCATTGGAATCTTTTTGCGTGAGACTATTTTAAAGAATTAATTTTTAGATCCTAAATAACAGTGTTGTGCTGCTGAGGCATGGGGGCAATAACTATATTCAAGGTTTACCGCAGTTTGGTAAAGTCAAGGTTATAAAACCGCCAACATTTTCTGCTGCACCGTTCCTACAGTATATGTAAGGTTTTTTTTATGTTTTGTTTTAAGTTTTTTTAGGACAACAGTATCTTCTGCAGTAAAGACCAAAGATGCTGTTTTAAATCGTAAAGAAATCTGTGAATCATTTCAATTATTTAGCCTGACATGTTTACTGCTCAAAAATATTTTAAAAGTTTATCAGAAGAAAATATATTTTAGGATATCATACTGTCAGAATCTTATACTGGCCCATGCCTAATGCTGCTTGATGTTGCAAAGTCATATTTTCTCATTTAATTATTTTTATTTGTATGTATAGATATGAACACACCAGTTTGTAGAGCAAGTAGTGAGACTGTTTTCTGCAGTTCATTATTCCTGGTCAAAATAATACCAAAATCCACATCGTAAAAAAAAAAAATAGAAAAAGAATAATAATTATAATTAAAAAACAAATCAAAAAGAGTAAAGGCTACATTAATATTTGCAAAGGAAAAGAGTTGTTTGAGTATATTTAAAGTTCTGGTTGTTTTTTATCTTAAACGTCCTTTAAGGGTTCTTTCTGACAATTTTTGTGTATGTAATTAACTGATTAAGTTAAAAGATTTAACATAAAATAGTTCTTATATTTTTTATATAGTCTATTTATATAAACTAATATTTTGTATAGGACATTTTCATTATTTAACAGATTTAATACTTCTATTAATCAAATTCTTTCTATTTCGTCAGGTTTGCAATAACCAGATTCCTGATACATATGTTTGAATTTTATTTTGTAAGTTTCCTTGAGTGTGTGTGTGTTAATTTGGGTGTTTATCCAAGGATCAAGTTTATGTTAGGATCGAGTTATTATGTCTGTGCATGTGTATGTGGGTGTATGCATGCAGTAGGTCTATATACAGTATGTGCAAGTGTCATACTTGTTTTGAACATAGAATATGTTTAAATGTGAGAAATTTATAGTTTTATATTCATGTGTAGATATGCAAAATCCTACACTGCGCCTCATAGCCATCTGTGTTTGGTGTCAGGAAGGTGGATGGTGGGGCGACAGGTTGACTTATACTTTTATGAACCTATTTGATGTGTTCCCGATGCTAGTCGGCATCGCTCTCCCGCAGTTTGCAGAGCGCCGAAACTAAAATTTTATGGAAACTTAAAAAGCCGAACAACGTCCACATCAACTACTTTGTCTGCATTCTTACTTGTGGAAGCTTGTTCCTCTATATCTGTATTCAGGTCGATCATTTTGTAGCTTTCTGTGACAGAGCAGCTTAACCAACTTCTGAGCGCTGTCATCACGCAAGTGACATCACGCTCATTCTGAGCACGGAAAGTCATTTAGTGACAAATAATACAAGGTAGAGAATCTTGTACAAAAATAAAATAATGTAAAATAATGTACAAATATATATAAACTGCAATAATATATATATATATATATATATATATATATATATATATATATATATATATATATATATATATATATAGATAGATAGATAGATATGATAAAACATATGTAAAACATATACACAAATGTATCGAAATATCAGAAATGGGTTTAAAAATCATATCACCGTTATTGAAAAAAAATCTATCGTGATACATTGATATTATATTATTGTCCAGCCCTATGTTAGATATAGAGAACAAGATGAATTAAATATCACTTTTAGCAAATATAGTGAGATTAGTTTCAGCGTAACTCGTAACATCAAAAAGGAAAAAACATTGATAAATTAACCCACTTCTCATTTACTAGTCTGTTATGAGCCATATCATACCTCTTGAGCCTCCGATCTCCTCCTGATTTGCAGTTTCTGTTTGTTTTTTGAAAATGTAATTGTCTTCAAATCTGAAAATATAATTTATTTTATAGTGTGAGTTGTTATTCAATGTGATACGAAGCTGCAAGCATGTTCCTTTGGACAGAATTTTTAACTAAGGTGTAATGTTGTCCAGATACTGGAATTTTTGACTTCATTACCTTGCTATATATTGATGTTCAATAGGCTACTATTTTTGATATAACAACAATTGTATCAAAAATGGTACAAAAATTTTTTCCTAAGTAGAAAATGATTTCTTAAGTTTTTTTTTCAGATCTGAATAAACATTAAAAGGCTTCAACTGATAATTTTCAAGACTGCGCCCATAAATGGTTGATATGTGTACTTCCTGCCATCTTAGGTATATTTATAAGAAAGTCAATTTATAATTTAATGCTAACTAACGTAGCATGTTACAGTAGAATATAGCTATAAAATAATATGCTAGATGCATGAACTCACTGTAATTTAACTATTACAGAAACAGATGAGAGATTCATTTTTTATTTCAAAGCATTTTCCCAGAATATGTCAAAATAAGATGTTCCCAAATATCAGTCCGTTTGCTAAAACACAGAAAGTTTTGACCAAATTAATCCACAAAATCAACCCAGAATGGATAAAAATGACCCAACAGCACACAAGGGGAAAGGTGCACATTTCAGTCTTTATGCAGATGCTGAACAGGTATGTCTCATGTTTGCGAGACAAATATTCAGCTGTTTGTTCAACTGTTACCTCAGAACTTTTTTTTTCTGATGGGTTTACCGGTCAGGCACAGAATGAACAAGTATTCCCGGTCTGCTTAACAAATTTTAGAAAAACATTTTGTTGTAATTCTGAGTATATACAAATTAAAATAGGCCACTTACAGCTTTCAAATCTGTGTCTTATCAATATGACCAAAATGACTTTTATGAGAAACTCTGAAAACTGGACTGACACAGTTTCAATTTACTAGAACTTCTAAGTTAAGTGGATTCAGCACAATTTACATTGTAAAAGCACTAGATGAAGATGAATTGAATTGAATCTGCTTAAATGTGCACACGTTAATGGACTAAACAAAATATGATCTGATTTATTTGACATTTAATGTGCATCAAAATTACAGTGTGTAGCCAATATTTCCAGTGTCTTTTCACCTTTACGCTTTTGATGAGATTTTTAAGACTTAATGAAAAGTGATGTTTTTTTATTTATTTATTTATTTCAGATATAATTGAAGAGAATGAGGGGAGTAAAGAAGAGGAATATCATGTCAAAATTGAGGAAAAAACTCATTTACAGACTGATGGTATTTTGAAAAAAAGAAACGAAAATCGTTTCACCTGCACTCAATGTGGAAGGAGTTTTGGAAGAAAAGGTGATCTTAAGATTCACATGAGGATCCACACTGGAGAGAAACCATTCACATGCACTCAGTGTGGGAAGAGTTTCAGTTGCTCATCTCACCTTAATAAACACATGAGGATCCACACTGGAGAGAAACCTTTCACATGCACTCAGTGTGGGAAAAGTTTCAGACACTCATTATTTCTTAAACAACACATGATGATCCACACTGGAGAGACACCATTCACATGCACTCAGTGTGGGAAAAGTTTCAGCCAATCATCAAACTTTTACCGACACATGAGGATCCACACTGGAGAGAAACCATTCATATGCACTCGGTGTGGAAAGAGTTTCAGCCAATCATCAAACTTTAATCTACACATGAGGATTCACACTGGAGAGAAACCATTCACATGCACTCAGTGTGGGAAAAGTTTCAGCCAATCATCATCCCTTAATCACCACATGAGGACCCACACTGGAGAGAAACCATTCACATGCACTCAGTGTGGGAAGAGTTTCACACGCTCATTATCTCTTAAAGAACACATGAGGATTCACACTGGAGAGAAACCATTCACATGCACTCAGTGTGGGAAGAGTTTCAGTCAATCATCATCCTTTAATCACCACATGAGGATCCACACTGGAAAGAAACCATTCACATGCACTCAGTGTGGGAAGAGTTTCACCCAATCATCAAACTTTAACCGACACATGAGGATCCACACTGGAGAGAAACCATTCACTTGCACCTAAGCCACAGTTACACTGGACCTTTCTTCCCAAAGACTTCCATTCATATGCATGCAAATGCGTCAGACTGTAAACGCAAGTTTGAGCGTCAAGTTTTGCAGTTCACTACGTTGCAGAGTTCAAGCTTGGTGAACTCTGACCTGCGAAATCGCATTACTTGTGTGAGACCAATCAAAGATCAAAACATGACCTCTCTGGATAATCGCTCACTTTTTTTAATATCTAATCATCTTGTTTAATCCCGCCCCTTTTCGCAACAAGATGTCGCATGCTCAAACTCTTGTGTGACCACAGCTTCGGTGTGGGATGAGTTTCAGCAGCTCATCAGAAATTAACCTGTTAAGCTTTTGGGCTATTTTGGGTATTTCCGCCTGAATTTGGCCTTCCGATTTAAAAAGCTTTCCATAACCACATGCAGAGGAATAAATAAAAAGGTTGGTATCATTTTAAAGGAAATCCTTTGAAATGTCATAAAATACTGTTTTATATAAACTGAAGTTAGAAAATGTGTAACTCAGGCCTTGAGTGCTCCATCAAAATAAAATGTGTCAGTAAACACAAGGAAAATAAATTTCTCTCTATAATAATGCATTCAAGAGTTATTCTATTCCAACTGGAAGGTAACATGCCAACAACACTGCTGTTAAATGCTAACTATTATTATATATGTTGTCTGTCCTATGATGAACCACCTCAACACAAACAGCTTTGGTTTTTTTTTTTTGTTTTAAAGCCAGCCTTAGTGCATAACTCAGGCCCTGTGTGCTCTATCAAACTAAAGACAGTTTTTGTTTGTTACCAGCATATGTCAGGACGCACGAGAAAATATAATTTTGTCTTAATCATGTAGTCTGCAAGAATCATTTTAGTTCAACCGAAGGGTGGGAAAAAACAACACGAGTTTCCTACCTGTCAAAAGTGAAAAACAATATATTACAAGGGTTATTATCACAAAAATCATAATTTTACTTATTCATATCCACATCAAAATCATAACACTATATCAAAAAAAGCAAGTGGCACAGTAGTACTTTTTTCCATTTTATTTTTCAATGACCAATTGGCCTTCACACTTTAAATGTAAAATAATGTACAAATATATATAAACTGCAATAATATATATATATATATATATATATATATATATATATATATATATATGTATATATATGTATATATATATATATATATATATGTATATGTGTGTGTGTGTGTGTGTGTGTGTGTGTGTGTGTGTGTGTGTGTGTGTGTGTGTGTGTGTGTGTGTGTGTGTAAAAAAAAGTTTTACTAAAGTAATGTGCAAAGTCTAACAAAAGATTTTGAAAAATGACTAGTAAAAAAAATGTTATTTTGTAAATACGTTATCGGATTTTCTTGAATTTTGGAATTTCATGACCCAAATTTGTTGCATTTGGCACTTACAGGACATAGCAGGGGATTACTTATTCACACAAGAACAGAAAAAGCTGAAAATAGACTAATTTTGTTGCGAAGAACCTAAGGTAAAGGATGATGTAGCTTGTTTGGCTATCTGGAGCAGCGCACAGAGCAAGTAAACAATAATTGCCCTTGTATGTTTATAAAATAAGAGTTCATACCTTATGATTTAATTAAAGACTGTTGGACAAGTGATTGTAAATTGTCGGGGAAAAAATATTCTGGTCTGCTAAATATTCAACGCGTAGCGGTGCATTTAAAGGCTGATTTATACTTCTGCTTCAAACGCCGGCGTATGCTTCGGTGCTGACGCATAGCCCTTCGCCGTGGCCGTCGGCGTCACTGACGTGCGATGTGTAGCGCAAGCTTTGTGATTGGTCGGTTTGGTAGCGTTGACGAGTTTGGGCGGGACCGAGAGCCGCGCGAATGGCGCGAGCGATTGTTTACAAGTGTGGAGTCCCGTGAAGGAGCTCCGGATGGAAAGTTTTGTTTTGTGTTTACCTCATAGTTAAAGTTGTTGCACGTCTGTCAGTTCCCGCCTCAAAATAAGCGAGTTTAAGTCACTTGTACAACCAGGAAGTGTTAAGTGACCGGCGCATGCAACGCGCGTGGCTGTGCATTTATACCTTTGCACGCTGTGTCTGTTGGTCTGCATTAACACTTCCGAAAAACTAGTTGGCAGTGAGGTGTAAATCTACCTCTGTGTCGAGTTTCTTTGCTGCAATTTTGCTTTTCCTGAACACTTCCGGGATGTACAAGTGGCTCAAACTCGCGAGGGACGTGCAGCAACTTTAAATATGAGGTAAACACAAAACAAAACTTTCCATCCGGAGCTTCTTCACGGGACTCCACACTTGTAAACAATCGCTTCATTGGGTTCACGCCATTCGCACGGCTATCGGTCCCGCCCCGACTCGTCAGTGATACCAAGCCGACCAATTACAGAACTTGCGCTACGCGTCGTTGCGACGTGTAGTTACATTTTTTGAGAGGTGCACGTAAGTGACAGCGACGGCCACGGCGAAGGGCTATGCATCAGCGCCGTAGCATACGCCGGTGTTTGACGCAGAAGTATAAATCAGCCTTTATACTTCTGCGCGCTGTCTCTGTTGGTCTGCATTAACACTTCCAAAATGCTAGTTGGCAGTGAGGTGTAAATGTTCCTCTGTGTCGAGTTTCTTCGCTGGTGCTTTGTTTTTCCTGAACACTTCCTGAATGTACAAGTGACTCAAACTCGCTCTTTTTGAAGCAGAAACCGGTGGACGTGCAACAACTTTACTATGAGGTAAACACAAAACAAAACTTTTTTCTGGAGCTCCCTCAAGGTCCCTCAACTTGTAAACAATCGCTCTATTGGGCTCGCACGGCTCTCAGTCCCGACCAGACTGGTCAGCGCCACCAAGCCGACCAATCACAGAGCTTGCGCTACGCGTCGTTGCGACATGTAGTTACATTTTTTGAGTGGTGCACGTCAGCGACATCGACGGCCACGGCGTAGGGCTATGCGTCAGCGGCGTAGCATACACGTGGGCTTGACGCAGAAGTATAAATCAGTATAAATTAGAGGGACTATATCAGAAGAAAGTCTCTTTCCTAACCCTCAACCGGAATGCAGCATAAGGTACCAACATATCAGTACAATTAACCTCACTAATGCAACAAAAAGTTGCCTTTCACAGTCTTTACCAAATGTCAACATCCCTATGTTGCACTCCAGGGGAGAGGCGGTACCAAACATCTCCCCCTTTATTTGACTAGAAAGGAGTAAACGATACTGTCTCCTGGTCTTAAGATGATTGATCCCACGTTGCCAGGGGTACTACTAAGTACTGTCTGGTGTTGGAGCGAGCAGCAGGCTTTTAAACCACCAGTAGAGCCTTCTCTTACAGCATTCGCCAACTTTGAGATGACCGTTGATTCCATTAAGCACTCAGTTCAAGTCGTCTTTCCCTGTGAGTGTGTGATCCCTGCAGCTTCGATAAATGTCCATTTCATACCCAGAAACATATCCAATATAGTATTAAAAGATAATATTGTAGATTATAGGGTTAATATCCTTAATTTCAGGTCCTTCTGTTTGCACTTCTGTCTCGTAGCACAGATAATGACCTGCTTGAAACCCTCTTTTCATTCGTGTCATTCTGATAACAAAGAACAAGAGAGGAAAAATAGAACAAGAAAATAGAAAACGACATAAGATTACTTGCATTGTATAGGAATAATTTTGCCATTTATATGTAAAAGAGTCTTAAGTGCCAAAATAAAAAACAAAATACCCTCTAACTACCTGCCTACACTATTCATTATTCCAATGGTCTGTCTACGCTTGAAAAGCAAAGAAAATAAAATACATGTCATAGACTATCTCTTTTCCACAAAACAGGAATAACATAAAAACAAGAATTACGGCACACTCAAAAACAAAAGAAAAAAATGGTTTGATACTCATCTAACCAAAGTTTGGGGTAACGTTCTCATAAACAGACCAATCTGAGGATTTTGGAAGCATATTTTTATAGCCATAGTCACTGTTGAGGTGGGCTTGCACAGTAACCATGTGTGTGGCAGCAGCACTGGCTAGCATTGATCTGATGAATGACACAACACAGCAAAAAAGTTAAGCAAAAACAAGTATGGTATCCTCCAAATACGCCAACTTTGACAACCATTGTCCCCAAGATCCAAATATGGAGGCAAACCAGTTACTCAAAATTTTGTCTTGTCCAGCATTTTCCTTGACTACTATCCACCTCTGGAGGTTAATTTTAGTAATATTAATGCAGCAGTAGTCCCCTTCAGCTTATCGGTCAGCTTTTCCCTTTTCCAGTAAGGCTGAGAAGTCGATTGTTTATAGGTCTCATTCCATTCTATTATCCGATTGTCCTTCATCTGGGGAAAGATTAACTCTTTACTCATGTTCACATATGTATGATCATTAACAGTAGCATGATTTCCTTCCATAGTAGGGTCCTCCTGTTGTTCCCCAGAGGCCAGCGATTTTACATAAACCGACAGGTCCACAGTTTCTCCTCCAACCAGTTCATGTTGTCCATGATGAAATCCAAGAGAGTCATTACTTGTTTTATGCTGCTCATGTACTTCCTGTGCTAGATTGCTAAAAAAAAAAATTTTTGACTGTTTCTTAGCTTAGGAACTCTGGTACAATGGTTTAAACGGTAGTAGGTGTTGTTGTTGTTTTGAACTTGTAATGCAGTTGATGTTGCTCTCTTTACTGTATAGTAGAGCTGGGTGATATGGCAAAAAAAAATATCAATAGTTTTTTTCATATCAGTCGATATCGATATTTATCACGATAAACGTAAAATCTTTATATCTATCAATTTTACAAGACTTTCAGTATGCCAATCGCTTTGTGCAGCTGATTTAACACATATAGTGAATTTTTTTAGCTGTCTGACAATATGAATAATAAAATAATAAACAAAAGAATAATCTTAATTCAGCATTTACTGTTCAAGTTTTCAACAACCAAAGACATTACAAGTTATTGGATATTATTGTTCAACATCAGAAAAAAAACCCTGTTTAAACAAGTAAAGGTGAGTTAATGGTCAAAGAATTTTCGGTTTTCACATTATTGTACAGTCAGGATACCTGAGTAAACATCAACAATTAAATAAATACCTCCAATATAGACTAATCAGAAAAAAACTATTATCTTTAGTGCAGATATCTTAACTAAGTAA